GTTCAATTCCCAGCAACCACATGGTGGCTCACAACCATCTATAATGAGATCTGGTGCCCTCTTCTGGCCTGCAGTCTTACATACTATATACATAATAAATAAATAAATCTTAAAAAAAAAAAAAAAGATTAAACCTCTGATCTGTTGATTTACACTCCTGCCATGTCCTTTTATCAGAGATCAAGTACCTTGGAATATCTCAGTTTCACTATTATTACATGCTCAACTAGGAATAACTATATTTAAAATTGTTTAGAAAGGTTAATGAGATTAAAATAAATGTGTACACACACCTATGAGTGTATATTTGTGTCGTTTTAAATCAACTACTTGACAAGCAGTGAGTGTATCAGAGCTATTACAAGTGTACTGCTGCAAAAACATTTCCAACTCTGATTCTAGGCATCTGGGGTAGGTAAAACAAAGTTATTCCTAGGGTCCCAGGCCCTGCACATTAATCTCAATAAACAAACTAGAATCTCAAGCTGCAATTCAACTGAGAACTAGATTCTGTATGTAAAACTGGTAACTTACTTGGTTTGTTTGCTTGGTCAAACATGTACTCAGGGAAGCACAGGAGAACAGAGGTGGGTTTTTGTTTCTTTGCTTGTTATTACTGTTGCTGTTGGGATAAGGTACGCTATATAGTTCTGACTGAGCTGGAAACAGACTGTAAACAAGGCTGGCCTCTCCCTCTGAAGTGATGGGATCAACTGTGTGCGCTACCACACTCAACTCAGGGACTAAATGTATAGAGTGTAGTCTGAGCTACGTTTTCTGGTCATTTGACCTTTCTTACCACATTTACAACTGTACTCTGTCCACCAGTGCCATCGTGATGGTTTCCACCAAACAAATAAGAAACAGAAGCATGGAGGTTTAGAGAGATTTTGGCATTATGCTGGTCAGATTTAGAATTTGAAGAAAGACTGTTGTATTTTATTTGTCAGGATGTGTTCCAATTTTATAGATTCTAAACAGTAAAAAAGAAATCTGTTTTAAACTTCTTGTAGTCAGCAAAATGTAGTGTTTCAACCAAGCACCCCCTAACCATTAATGTCACCTCAGTTTTAGTGTCTTTATTCCTTAGTGAGCAACTGCCCCAGCATAATTATAACTTGTATTTTAAATCAGAACTGCTCTAAGTGTGATTCCAATGAGGAATTTTTTTAACCTTCAGAGTTTGGAGAGTAGGAACTAAAACCCCATATTTTAATAAGATTCCAGAGATTCTTAAAACACATTAAGCTTTGAGAGGTACTTTTTTTTTTTTTTTTTGTTTGTTTGTTTTTTGAGACAGAGTTTCTCTGTGTAGCTTTGGTGCCTGTCCTGAATCTTGCTCTGTAGATCAGGCTGGCCTCATACTCAGACAGATCCACCTGTCTCTGCCTCCCGAGTGCTGGGATTAAAGGTGTGGGCCACCACTGCCTGGCTGAGAGGTACTTTTTTTAAACCTCAACCTGGGAATTACTAGGACAAATCTGGCCAGAGGGAAGAGTTAAGAAGTATCTAAGATAGTTGTGGTGGTACATGTCTGTAATCCCAGGAACTAGCACTTGGAATGCTGAGACAGGAGTATTAGGGTTTAAGGCCATTGTGGTCTATGTAGCAAATTCTAAGTCAGCAAAGTGAGACTGTGTCTTTAAATAAATGTGTAAATAAGCAACATTCAGTAGGACCAGGGACATGGATCCATGGTGAAGCACTTGCCTGGCATGCATTAAAACCCACTGAGTTTAATCCCCTAGCACTGCAGAGTAAAATAAAAGGATCATCCAAGAAAGCTTTGTCTTTTCATATTAACCAAGTATTCCATCTCTAAATAAATGTAGGTCATCCTTAGAAGAGCCTTGGATATTACACTCATTCCTAACAGGAAGTAGTCTTCTGTTTTTGTCTTTTATCCCCCAGCTGTGATTTACCATGCCTTTTCTCATAAAGAAGCCGAGGAGCATGATGTACAGGTACAACTTTCAAAGGTGGGCTGGGAGCAGTAGACTTGAGAGCAAAGAAGATTCAATGGCTTCTAAGACTGGTCTAGCTGTCCTCTCCCATGGATTACTCTTCACCTTTACAGTCAGCATATTAGGCCCCATGGAGGTCTTTTGTGCTGATGTCTTCTTGTGCCAGGCTCCTTTCTTAGGGTACCAGAGTCAACTCTGAGGGACTTGGACTCCTAGATTTCATGTCATCTCCCACTCCAAACATGTCTTGCTCTTGCTTCTGTGTTCAGTACTCAGGCCATTTCATAAGTGAGTGTTACAAATTCTATCTGGATGCTTGAGCATGCTTTGTCAGTTGGGTAGAAGTGTCACCTGTGGCTCATAAAGAGCACATGTCCTACCAGGCTGTGTGGTGCATGCCTTTAATCAGTTCTTGGGAGGCAGAGGCAGATAGTTCTCTGAGGTCAAGGACAGCCAGGGATACACAGAGAAAACCTGTCTCGTAAAAAACAGGGGCAGGGAATATACTTGAAATCAAGATTTTTAAGGCCTTGATTTTATTTCCCCATGAAAGAGAGACCACATATGTGTTTAAAAGAACCAAATTGTCCTATATCGATGATAGATTGTTTAGCCATCCCTGCCTTGACTACCTCAAAGATTATGTATTCTGTCTTTTTACCCCTGCTTTATCAGAGAGAGGGTATCAGCAACCGTTGATTTAGGTTGATGTTAACCTAAATCTGGCAGTTAGCCTCAGACTTGTTTTTACTGTCTGGTTAGTGCCAAAAGAGCCCAGCAAATGGCCCAGTCAAGAGGTAGGTCCTCAGGAACGAGCACTGCCCGGGTTGCAGCAGATGAAAGCCGAGTGAGGTGCCTGCTGCCCAGTGAAGAATAGACTGTTGCTGCCCCAACTTGAGGGGTGCTGAAACTAGAGTGTCTCAGGACTGGGTGCAACAGTGAAGTGGTTTTACCCTCCCTTGCCAGGGGTATTACAGTCCTGTGTATAAGAGTGAGTAGACCCCGAGATGCCCTTCATGCTTTCTGCCTCAAGGAAGACTAGAGCAGACCTCTCCAACAGCAGCCACATGGAGGCCACAAGGCGGAAAAGCAAGGAAAGGGGACTGTGGTGCTCAGTGTCAGATTTCCTCCTCCTTGACCTGCCTGGAACCCCCAGGCAATTTCCCCTAGTTCCAGAATGGCTCATTTCCCTAACAACCCCAGTTCCCTTCCACTTCAAGCTAGTCTTGTGGTCATGACTTATTAAATAACCTGTATCATGCTTTTCTCAAGCTTCCTTCCCCACAAGGATTAGAGAAGCCTTGCATTACAAAGGATTTTGAATGCTAAATAGAGTTACCTCAGAGAAACAGGACAGGAAGTCAGTGTTTGACCTGGCTGCAGTGTAGGACAGTGTCACAGTTAGCATGTGAGTGTTACTTTTACATCTTGGCAGTTGTGTGTAGCAAACACTTGGAAGACAAGGGATTTGTAGCCTAGATCAGCAAAGCTGGTGGCTCTCAGGAACCGGGTCTGAGGGCCCTGGAGTCTGAGAGCAGAATAGTAAACCACACCACCTATCTCTGAGCAGGAGCTGGGGAGCCAGCGGGCTGAGGCCTTTGTGAGGGCTTTCCTGAAGCAAAGCATACCTCACTGGAGCCAGCAAGACTGTGAGAGCCATCTGCAACGCAAGGCTGTGGTCTTGGAATACTTCACTCATCAGAAGCCAAAGCAGCAGCAAAAGAAATCCAAAGGCCTCACTGCCAAACAGAGGAGAGACATGAGGCTCTTTGACATTAACCCAGAGCAACAGAGGTACCCCCATCTTTCCTAAAGGCCTTGCCACTCATCATTGCCTAGTCTTTCTGTTCAGAGTGTGGACAGGGATTCCAGGGGCTCACTGGGCAGCCATGCCCCCTTAGTCTCAGGGTCTGCTCCTCCTTCTGCCACAAGGGGGCA